AAAAAAACTTCAAACCGCAGCGTCAAATAAGTATTTGTAGTTCCTTGTAAATAACACACAAAAAATTTTGTAACATTAAAAGATTTGAAGACATAAAATAGAGGGAGGTAAACAAAACAAACACCAAAAAAATACAAAATCCAATAAACAAAAAAACTATAAAAGATAAAAAAAGAAATCCACTCCACTGACTCATAATGAAGAATATTTTGAACTGAACTAGAGAAGAATAACAATAAAGCCTTCCGCAAACCTTGAGCGTTTCGAAAACCTAACAGCAAAAGAAATATAAAAAAATGAAGACGGAATGATTGATTTGTATGTGGATCAGTAGTCAGCCAGAGCACCATCAGTATTAATAGGCAGTTTTTGCATTTCCCTTGTCAATCACGACTCATTATCTCATCCCTCGACAAGCCCCTATTATTATCTAAAATACGAACAATTAGCCACCATTTTCTGAGACCCTTTAAAGCTTTTCTGAATTCCAAAATAACATACTAAATATAAATTTACTTCTTTTTTAAATGCACACAGTAACAAATTGAGAGAACCGTCTAGATGAAACTGTAATTCCCTCGACAAAGCAATAACATGGAAATAAAAAAGCTAACTTCCGGAGAGGAAAAGAAGACAAAAAACAAAACTCCTCAACCCAGCTGCGAAAATGCAACTTAAAGTGATAAATAATGCAAAACCCTCAGTGCTACAGCCAATCCTGAGAACAATTTGGTCAATTCAAAAGGAAAATAAAAAAAATTTAAACATTCTAACGATAAGGGAACAGTGAAAACAACATTGCGAGAAGATATTTAAACAAAGACCAATTGCAAATCAGAAGCTTAAGAGGCAGTAAAATCGATTTGACTTAACGCTGATCTAACCGAGCTAAGCACTATGTCATTCGGATTTCTCGCCAACATTTCGTTGAGCCGATTCATATACAGATCAATGTTTTTATTGGTCAATGTTACTCCTGTAAAACTTCAATTTCAGCGATGTTTGCTCAAATCTACTCGATAAATATAAAAATTACATTATACCTGGAACTTGAATGGTTGAAAGTGCATTTAAAAGAAGTTCTTCCCACTTTGCTTTCAACTGAGAGCATTTTTGTGCTAGATCATTTGTATGTGGATCTTGTAAAGCTACCAAGTTCTCTTCCAGTCTAAAAACATTAAAATAATAAAGCATAAATTCAAAAGGAATTATTTTACTGTTCTCACTTGTTCTCTACCTTTTCAAAGTGTCACTCAAGCTTAAATTTGATTTAGAATATAAGACAGCTGCTTCTGACAACATATTAGAACAGTCTCACAATCTCTGAAAAAAGCTTTCAGTTAAAGCAGAATATTCTACTTTAAAACATAAGAAGTTAGTTTTGGTTCCCAGCAATTCCACTGTGAATTTTTTGAATGAAGAACTAAGACTGCCTAAACAAGAGCTACAAAACAGAAATGTCAAAGCAGGAATGGATTATGACTAAAACAATCGAATAATATGACAAAGTCAGACTCTGCCCGAAAGTAAGAGAGCAAGCTGAGCAAGCTTTTTAATCACTTAACAATTTCCAGCTGTATCCCACATAAAACGCAAGTTTGACCTTTGTTGAATAATGTAAACAAAAACAAGACCACACTTCGCTAAAAAAGAATTTTTTTCCACCTTACACCATTTTTCCTGCCCATCCTTAAGCCACTATTGCAATTAAACTGAAATTCAAAAGTTTTTCAACCTTAACCATCATCTTAAAGTTCTACCTTAATAAAACAACTGTCTATCAGCTTTCACTTCTTCTTCCAATTATCGTCTTATCCAGCCACATTCAAAGTACCTTTCTGTACTACCACCAATGACCTCTCTCCTTTTTCCCCCTACTTATATTCCACCGTGAGTCTCGTATCACAGTGGTTAAATCATGTTCTCATCAACCCATATTTGAACCTTTACTGAAAGAACCAAGCATATATTCTAATAAAGAAAAAAACTTGAGAACACCATTGGAAGACAACTTACAAAGAAAACAGCTAAAGCGATATTGAAAAAGTGACGATACAAAAAGATAAAGAATTTTAATGTCTACACAAAACCAGATAAAAAGACTGACCGAGAAATTTCTTTTTTGAGAAGATTTTCTTCGTCATGCATAGTACTGATCTTCCGTCGAATTTCTCGCAATTTTTTTTCCTGCGCTGCAACATCAGGACGAATAATTAATGTAACAAGGTTATAAAAATGTTACTGCAGTAGAGCTATTGATCATCCCCAGACTAGCTCTGCGCCATTATCAAAAAAAGTTTCTTTCATTATTCTCAACGACCTTCTAAGTTCGGCAAAACTATTTTGGAAATCTTTATTTCCAAATCCAGATATTCTGTTTGCCAGTATGTACATCAACTAATTACGCAGAAGAAAGCAAGACCTTTGTTATATTCTAAGAAAGCATCACTAAAGATGACGATATCCTCTGTCTTCAGATTCTGAGAAGATCCATCCTAAAACTACAATTTTTGGAAATGTCAAGGTGATGTTTAAAATACCAAAAATTTTTTCGGCAAATCAAGTTTTCCAA